GAGAGAGAGAGAGAGAGAGAGAGAGAGAGAGAGAGAGAGAATCCATCACATCTTGCTGCTTGTCTTCGAAATTGTTGTCATTGTCCAGAAGCTGATCAAGCGACTAAGATAATGTGAAGGAAATTCAAATCCATATGCCCAACCAAAATTCGAAGTCGTCCATGGCTTATTATGTACGCCCCGCTCTGCGTGTCTACCGGTGGCCGCAGGGAGGCTACAGATATCCGCATGGTCTGTTCAGATCAGGAACAGGAAAACGTTTTTTTTTTTTTTTTTTTTTTTTGGAGCTCCCTGCCCCTTCTATTCTTGGGGGGGATGAGTCCGGTTGCTTATCTGAAACAGGAAGACTTAATACACTGCTTTTTTTTTTTTCTTTTTTTTTTTTATTAAATACACTGCTTATTAATCAGATGCCAGGAGGCTACAGACTACTGAGCTGGAGCGTCTCTATCACTAACAATTGTCGAAGGACGTCCATTCTCCGACACCTGATGCATGTCAGACCTATGGGCCCACTTCTACACCTCCACATTTCCTGAACACCCAATCCAACTCCTCCTATGGACTACCGTCCTCACCCGAATATAACGTCTGGTCATTATCGCTGCATCTGGACTGACAATTGGCCCAAATGCAGCTATAATGACCGGGCGTTCTGTTCGGGTTAAGACGGTAACATCACACCGCACTCAAGTAAGTCAGCAAGGACCCGAACAGAACACCCGGTCATTTATATCTGTATTTGGGCCAATTCTCAGTCCAGACGCAGCGATAATGACCAGACGTTCTATTCGGGGGAGGACGGTAGTGCATAGGAGTTGGATTGGGCGTTCAGGGAATGTGGATCGATCCGCAAAGCGACATGATCGGCGCAGTTTGTTGCGTGTACTCTCTGTCGCCAGGAACATCACAGGCAATCTTTATTTCTCAGGCCACTCCTCCCTTAATGAAGGCGTGACACGGTCTCTTCCACTACCTAACCGACCTTCTTCCCCCGAACACAACACCTGGTCATTCTGACTGCATCTGACCAGGAACGCACCTTCTGTACATTTATGGCGACTGGGTGCGGTTTCGTTCGAGGGAAGAAGTTACCGTTTGCCTCCGGCTGACAAGCATGGTAACATTGGTAAGTCTAGTGAGCATTTGTAGATTTACTGTGTTGACTAGTAGGTAATCTTTCACCAGGAGGGAAGAATTACCGTTTGCCTCCGGCTGACAAGCATGGCTACTAACATTGGTAAGTCTAGTGAGCATCCGTAGATTTACTATGTTGACTAGTAGGTAATCTGTCACAAGGAGGGGGACATGGCTGGGGATTCAATTGGCGCCGGACATAGCCATGGTAAGTCTAAGAAACAGTGTGTGGATTTATTCTTATTGGTAGACTTGTGCTTGTGCAGGTCAAGTCTACAGGGAACATGTTTGGACTCAGCTCAGTGATGTTCGCTAGGCACGGCCACGGCAAGACTATTGTGACACTAATCAATGGTCATGGTAAAACTAGACTTGTGCTGGGTTAAGTCTACCAAAGGTGCCTGGGAAATAAGAGTAGAAGTAGACTTACCGACCTGTAGCCTTGGTGCGGCACGGCTTACATAATGTACCCATGCGTACTGCCGTACCCATGGCATGTGTTTACTCCATGGTAAGTCTAGCCAACGTGCCTAAGCGTCAGGCCACACTAACCTGGCTGCTACTGTGGGCCACATTCATGCTTTCCAAGCACAGACGTAGTGCTGGTCGCACCCGCAGTCCCAAGGCTTATCCTGGTTACTAGATTTACGCGCTGTAGCACGGATTGCATCCCAGCCGACCGCCGACTGTTTTGCAGCCTATCGGTAGGGTCAACCGGTTGGCAGTCTGCTCATCAGTCAACAGAGAGTCATCCACTGTTTATTTTTTTAATCCGACTTTGGGGCTGTACTGCGCTTGATGAGTACAGCCCAAATCCGCTGAAAATTGT